ACCGGCACCCTTGTACTCGATGATGGCACCGGTACCACCCTTGACGGTGAGCTCACCGGCGACCTTGAGGATGACGTCCTTGGGGGTGGTCCAGCCGGACAGCTTGCCCTTGAGCTCGACACCGATGACCTTGGGTGCCTTGAGCTCCCAGGGGATGTCGGCCATGACGTCCACGGCGTCGGCACCACCGACACCGCAGGCGATCATGCCGAGACCACCGGCGTTGGGGGTGTGCGAGTCGGTACCGATCATGAGACCACCGGGGAAGGCGTAGTTCTCGAGGATGATCTGGTGAATGATACCGGAGCCGGGCTTCCAGAAGCCGATGCCGTACTTGGCGGTGGCAGTAGCGAGGAAGTCGTAGACCTCCTTGTTGATCTCAATGGCGCGGGCCAAGTCCTTGGCACCACCGACCTGAGCCTCGATAAGGTGGTCGCAGTGGACGGTGGTGGGGACGGCGACGGTGGGGAGACCGGCCGACATGAACTGGAGCAGGGCCATCTGGGCGGTGGCATCCTGGCAGGCGACACGGTCGGGGCGGAGCTTGAGGTACGACTGGCCACGGCTGATCTCCTGCTCGTGGGGGTTGTCCAAGTGACCGTAAACGATCTTCTCGGCGAGCGAGAGAGGACGGTTGAGGCTGTGGGCGCAAAAATCAAAAGAGGGAGTGCGGACAAAGGTCAGCGTGCTGATTCGTCTTTTTTGCATGCGATCGACGCTTTTCGATGCGGTAGTAGCACGAAAGCGAGTCTCGCCGCCAAATCGAGCCTGACGACTCTGCAATCCTGCTCGCATTGCGCGCGCGGGTGTGCCGAGCCAATTGACCGGGCGCTGAGGCTGTCAACACAGCTCAAAAAGCCTCCGAGGCAGAGGCTTTCATGATCCTTGCCGGCTCTGGCTGCGGAACCAAGAAGGACCGCATGGGCGGAACTCCTAGATTCAACAGCAGCAAATCAGGCAAACAAGCTGGAGCTCGCACGACATTCCCGCTTCGCCTCTGCATTCCATGCCATGGACGCCTGGATTGCAAGACACAAGCGCATGCGAAAGGAAGGAGGGGAGCGATAACGTGAAACTTACCGAGATCGGACGACCTTGAGGTTGTCCTCGATGCGCTTGTAGTTGACGTAGTAGCCCTTGCCCTTCTCAACGACCGACATCTCGACCTTCTTGTCGAAGAGAGAAGGCGAGATTTCGGCGGCCTCCTCGGCAACGGTAGTAGCGTAGCCGCGGGCCAGGGGGGCCTTGGCGGCCGCCCGGAGGGACGAGGATCGGAGAGCTCGGAGGGGAAGCATGATGTGTGGTGAGGCTACCAACTACCCTGCTCTCAACTCTGAATGCAGAAAGGGATGGGGGATGGAGGAGATGATGGTGGTTCGAGATGCAGAAGCGGCCGGTGCGGAAGAAAAGGGGAGATACGGGGCAGCCAACGAGACGAGACGGCGCGAGCCACCAGAGGGCGGACAGGCGGACGGGGGAACCGCTCACCGCCTGCACTCATGGAACACACGCGAAAAGAGCCGACAGAGACGTGGGCCGGGCGGGGGGTCTTTCCGTCCGGTCTGATCCTCACTCAGCGGCACCTGGCGCGCACGCACTCGGCGCTCTGGCAGAGGCACATAACGACATGCGTGCACAAGGTGAAAAATGCAAAAACATCCAGGCAGGACACGGCAGGACACTGGGGATCGGGCAGGGCGGGGGGACGCTAGCCAGCCAGCCACGCTTTCTGATTTTCAACCGAAAAGCTGCACCAGCAGTTTCGGCTGAAGCGTGATTCACGAGCCGCGACCAGGCTGCGCAGCTGCTGGACGGCCAACGGTCACCGGCCACCAACGGCACTTGCAGGCCGAGCGCCATCGCCAGGTCGCAGCGTGAGAGCACGGTCCAATCAACACGCGCGTTTTGGCGAGAGCCTCACCCAGCGGCACCGAATTCAAAAGCCTGCAAGTGCCGCGTCTCGAGCCAGGGCTGAGGCTGTAATTCCTTGTAAATTCGATTGGGCTGGCCGCACTGCAGCCTGCAACCACCAAGCCTGGACCCCTTGGTCTCTGGGCCGGTTGGACCGACGCCGGCCACCAACTCGTCCTACCGCTGTACAGCAGACGTCGATGCCATCATCTCGAAAGCATCGAGACGGTCACGATCATCTGGTCGTCAATGCCAAGCTTGAAGCCAGAATAAGCGGGTTGATTTGAAGGAACATCGCTCAAAGGCAAACAAAGTGGAACACGAAACGGCCGAGCGGAACGAGGGCGTGGATTCCGTGAAAGGGCACACCGAGATCGGGCGCGCTCATCAATCTGAGCTGCTTCATTCCGTCGCTATCGCGGCTGCCTCCGTCCTTCGCAAGCAACCCCGACTGTCCATGATAGTGAGCAACACCGCTTTGACGTCACAACAGCGCGCACGCATGGCGTATTGATCCATCACGCGAAGCTCGTATCTTCATGAAAGCGGCGTCGTAAGCTGTCAAGGGCAGCAAGCGAAGTGTGGTATCAAAGCTTTCCAGGGCTCGAGGCTGGTGGAGCCGGCCCAATCACGAGGCCGCCAATTGAAACATCGGCTTTGCGCGTCTTCTTGCACCTTGCAGGCGGACCCTCTTCAATTCCGCAAATGACCGCTGCGCCTTCTCGCGCGGGAATGCCCGATGCAAATCGGGTATGGCTCAAGTTCGACGTGGGACGATTGCGATCCTCCTGAGGCCGCACGACCATGATCTCGGGCTCGAGCCGATGAATGCTCGCATGCTAGCAGGACCCTTGTCGACCAGGCCTGTGAGAGTGCCACATGTCCAGCCATGCATTTGTGTAGACAGTCCAGTGAAGACGGCAAAGGAACGATCAATTTGGCCAGCTTCAACACGAAGCGTCGATATCGCTTGAGCACCAGTCAAGGAAACAGGCAGCGCCTCAGCATGATCACACAAACACATCGACCGAGTCTGGAACCAAAGAGTAGTTTTGTTTGCTGTCATAGCGGATGAAAACGTATTTGACAGGAGCTAGTGACAAGCGTCGGTAGCATTGCCTCCTGCCGCGTACGGTATCGACCAGGCAGCCGCGACCGAGCGTGAGGCTAAGATCGGGCTGCAAGACCCATGTGGAGCGAGTCGAACATGGTGAAGGTGAAGTCTAGACGAAAGTCCCTGGCCGAGGCTTTTGGATGCGAGGAAGATGGGGGATAGGGCGGATGACGATGGGTTGCTGGACGAGAGACCGGGAAAGCGCTTTAACGGTACTTGTGGAAACCGATCTGGTCGGCGCGCTCGCGGAAGCACTGACGGCAGATGTCGAGGCCGTACTTTCGGATGATACCACCCTGGTTGGCGCAGACACGGCTATGGTAGAGAAGTTGAACGAGATTCAATGTGGTCAGTACTAGACGTTTAAGCAATCGAGCAGATCGCCAGAACAAGGCGCCGACAGGTTGAGCATGGAGCAGCATCGAGAGCAGTGTCGACTCGTTGCACATTGCGAACGAAGGTTGGCGTGTATCCATTCCGGATGCGCAGGAACACGAAGTCGCCCAACTCCGGAACAATGCTTCAAGACGAGCCCAGTGGCAGGTGCGCCACTGCTTTTTCGGTGAACGAACATTGTCGGTTGACGAATGTCTGCTGGAACGATGTGATCTTTGCTGCGGAGATGCCGTTGTCTGCGGTCTATCGTCATGTTGCCGGAAGAGCGCGTCGGGCATCAAGGACTTGCCGAGTCTGCGTCAAAGTAGCCAACTTCTGGACCACGATCGCTGTGGCCCCGAAACTGTCTCTTCTCTACCAACACTGCGATCCACGTCGACTACGCTGATCCATCCGATATGCATTGCGATCCATCAAGGACGACCTAGCACCGACGCGAGATCCGGTCTCCATGATGCTCTGTTCTCCCATCTTCCAGCTCTGTACAGCTGTGCAAGACCTTCTAGTGTCCTTCTGTCGACTGTCCCCGTTGCCATTTTCTCCGACAGATATGTCATCTGCTGCATAAGCAGAACAAATAAACTGCTGCACGGCCGAGGTGTTCTGGAATCTCCGGCGCTGTACCAATATCATGCTTTATCGTGGACATTGTGGCGGCGGTGGAGGTAGCTGCGTAGGTGCTTCGTCGATACTGCGGGTCGGTATGCGGGTGTGGTTTATGCGTTTGGTGCTGTCGATGTGCTCGTAGCTGTGCCCGTCGGCTGCGTATGTGTCGGTGCCTTTGTTGGTCGGGGATGCACTTACCACTGGCGCGAGCCCTTGCCGAACTTTCGGGGGTGGCTGTACCACAGAGTAGCGAAGGTCATTTTGTCGGTGGTATAGAAGTGATGTCTTGAAGATACGAGAGATGGAGGGAGCAAAGGGAAGCGATGACGAGCGCGCAGAGGATGCAGCGGACGCGCGCTGCCAGCCTTCAGCCTCGAATCTCCAAATCCAAGTCGACACTTCGGCCAGAGCTGAGTCCCCTGACGGATGGGACGCCGTCCACTGCGCCTGGTCGGCACCTTCTCGGATTCCAGAGGGCCGCCTCGACTGGGGCGAACCGGGCCATCGCTGATGCGCGACCCTCTTCAGCGCACTGCAGGCAGGCTCAGATTCGAAGTGCCAGGCGGTTCCGACACGCCTAAGCGTGAGGCATTAATTCGAAAGCTCGGCCGAGGTCAAAAAATGAATCACGTGCGCTCGTCTGTGGGCCTATTGGAGAATTCCAAAAAGTCGGCACCGCACAAGTCTATGAAGGCCTCAGCTCTGACAGTACGGGCTGGAAAGCCTGCTTGCCCCCCGAGGGCGAGAAGGATGGCATTCGTAGGCGAGCAACCCTGGGCAATTCAGAACGCAGCGCCGGCCAGAGCAGCGGGCAGCAGCACGCAGCCCAACTGACGAGCGCCGAGAAGCCAGCGTCCACAACGCAGCCCAGCGCCCAGAGTGCGAAACAAGCAAAGCGGGTTGGCTACTCAGAGCCCGCCGTCACCATCCTCCTTGGAATCATCCACCAACCATCTCCTTCAAGATATCGAAAATGGCTGCTAGACCCAGTAGGTATCTCGTACAGCCCATCAGCAGCATCAGCATAGCACCAGCATCGCAATCCAACCGCAGCATCCAGCAGCCCCGGCTCTCATCGCAGCCACAGCATCCCGTAACACAGCACATTCGGCCTTTCTTGCAGCCTCGCTCCCAGCATAACATCATTCGACGACTATGGACAGCCAATCTGATACGCCGTGCCAATGTTGCTGCATACGCAGACTTCGATCTAGCATGTCCCAACCATTCTCAGAACGTCCGAATCGCTTCGATCTTTGGCATCGCCCGTATGTGGCGGTGCTGCTTCAGCGATGGAAGCGTGCATGTCCAGACCCGTCTCAGGCCAGATACGGTGGCGGCAGGATGCCATTCCGACACGGACGAAGCAGTGGCCAGGGCGATCGAATTGCCAAGAAGAGGCAGCATCGATAAACACAGCATATGTCCATACCCTTCGACGACACATCTCGACCATCTGAGAGCGCCAGACTATCGCCATTCAGGTTCCCAGACACAACAGTTTGATCTGGTGCTATTGCTGTGATGGGCCCCGCAAGCCAAAGGTTTATAGGACCAGTCATTGACCTTGTCCGCATTCGTGTTCGCTTCTTCTCACAACAGCCGTCAACGTGAGGGGCCTCGATGGCGCGGCCTCGGGCTCGCTCCCCCTCCCCGCAGTCTTCACTGCCCCCATCCGACCTGACGTCGTTCAGCTCGTCCACACCAACGTGGCCAAGAACAAGCGTCAGCCTTACGCCGTCTCGACCAAGGCTGGTCACCAGACCTCTGCCGAGTCGTGGGGTACCGGTCGTGCTGTCGCCCGTATCCCCCGTGTCGGTGGTGGTGGTACCCACCGCTCCGGCCAGGCTGCCTTCGGTAACATGGTCCGTGGCGGTCACATGTTCGCCCCCACCAAGCTGTGGCGCCGTTGGTTCATCAAGACCAACCAGAACCAGAAGCGTTACGCTACCGCTTCGGCTCTGGCTGCCACCGCCGTCCCTTCGCTCGTCCTCGCCCGCGGTCACCGCGTTGAGGAGCTCGAGGAGATCCCCCTCGTTGTTGCCGACGCCGCCGAGGGTCTGACCAAGACCAAGGAGGCTGTCGCCCTCCTCAAGGCCGTCAACGCCTACAACGACGTCGTCAAGGTCTCCAACTCGCGCAAGATCCGCGCCGGTGTTGGCAAGCTCCGCAACCGCCGCCACACCCAGCGCCGCGGTCCCCTTGTCATCTACAACAAGGACGCCGGTATCGTCAAGGCCTTCCGCAACGTTCCCGGTGTTGAGCTGTGCTCGGTCGAGCGCCTCAACCTCCTCCAGCTCGCCCCCGGTGGACACCTTGGCCGCTTCGTCATCTTCACCCAGTCCGCCTTCGGCCGCCTTGACGAGGTCTTCGCTGCCAAGTCTGGCTTCACCATGCCCAAGGCCAAGATCGCCAACACTGACGTGACCCGCATCATCAACTCGGACGAGATCCAGTCGGTCGTCCGCGCCAAGGGCCCCGCCAAGACCACGCGCCCCTTCACCCAGCGCAAGAACCCCCTCAAGAACCGCGCTGTTCTCTTCCGCCTCAACCCTTACGCCCAGGCCGCCATCCGCTCCGAGATCCGCGCCCAGGCCCAGAAGAAGTCGGGCTTCAAGAAGGAGGCCAAGCAGCCCGTTGCCAAGGAGTTCCTCGAGCTCCTCCACGCCAACTAAGCGGATGGCGCACATTCAGCTCTTCGATAGCTCGAGTGTCGCCTTCGTCGCACTGGCATGGCTCGCTTCGTTCTCTTTCTTCTCGCATCCCCCTTTGTCGGATCGATGCGTGCAGGTTTTGCGGGTGGTGGACTAGGATGGAGCTGTCTCTCCTGTCCTTCTTGAAATCTTGTTGCATCCACGCATCTTTTCATGTCGCATCATGACATTCTTCTCACACCCCGGTCCTTTGTTGTATCTCGCCCCACAAGAGAAGGACAAGATCGGCTCCATTCTCATCGCCCTTAGCTCACCTGCTCGTCACGACCCGATCATCACCTCTTTCATTTGGTCGACCGTCTTGCCTCGGTCGGCCTTTGTATACAATTCGCACCACACCCCCACATCATCCCCCCCAAAAAATCGCAACACAAAAAGGCCGGGCTTATCGGCACGTTTTGGGACCCTTTCCATTCTTCTCTGCGTGCGTTCGGCGTGTGTCACAACTGCAGTGTCCTCGAGTCCGGACTGAGGTCGCAGGCATCTGAGCCAGGAACGAGTCGAGGCAGTGTGAATTCAGGTTCGGTAGAGTGGCTCCTGTCTCAGCAGACGGCAAGTGCGGCACACTCCTGTCGGATCCTCAGCCACTGCATGCACATGCGAATGAACTACGATTCGTCGGTATGCACTCATTGGATGCAAAGCTAGGGCTCGATGTTGCCCGACTGCGAGAGCGTCTTGCCGGCAAAGCTCTCGAGGCCCTCGCCGGTATATGTGAGGAGCGGGCTGAGCTCGACCTCGGTGCCATCGGAGACCGTGGCGCCCGCAGCGGCGAGCCACCTGCTCTGCTGAGCGAGCAGATCGCGCCGCGAGGTGTCCTGGTCATCCACACCGGTGCCCTTTGCGTTCTTGAGCGGGCTGAATTCCTCCGGCCTGGCGACCTCGTGCACAGCGAGCTTGTCGCCGCAGAAGGGGAAGACGTCAAAGACAAACAGCTCGAGCTTCATGCCGTTGGGCGTCGACGGCTTGACGGGGCTGCCCGTGGCGAGGTCGACGGTGGGGATCTTCTTGCGTGCGATGTGGAAGGCCATCTCGGGCTCGAACGCCGGCACGTCGTCGGCGAGGAACTTGGTGGTGTAAAAGTGGTTGACGATGTTGGCCGCACGGAACGAGAGCTCGCCGTTGGCATCGCGCGCCTCGCTCAAGCTTTCAGGGATCTCCGAGTATTCGACGACGCCAAACTTGCCGTCGCGCAGCGCCACGACGCCGACCGACTCCTTGGGGTTCTCCTTCTTGACCACCTTGACGCCGGCCTGGACGCCCTGCTCAAGACAGACGCCGAGGAAGATGGGGTCGCCGACCTTGACGAGGCAGTTGTCGACACCGTAGGCGTGAAGATACTTGATGCCGCGCTTTTCGAGGTCCGAGATGACGGTGTGGGGCTGGCCCTTGTTGTACGGTGTGCGGAGCGCGCGGTAGAGGCCTCCGTTTCCGTCTGGGGCCGTGGCTACTCTGCTGGTGCTATCGAGCAGGATCTTGCCTTCGAGCGAGAGGCAGGGCAGCGTGCCCTGCTCGAAGAAGATGATGTTCTCCTTTTGCAGACCAAAGTACTTGTGCTCTGCGAAGAAGGCCTCGGTGTCGCGGCGAGTGGGGCCCGAGGTCATGATGTACCACGGAATCACGACCGCAGCGCTGTTGCCGTTCGCAGAGCCTGAAGCGGAGCTGTGCGCATGCTGTGCGGCGAGGTGCTGCAGCCTGAGGATACGCTCGGCCTGGATCTGGAAGAGGCTCTTGTGGGAAGGAAGGCCGATGTCGTAGCAGCCCTTGGGAGCAGTGGAGCCGAGACGGGTACCCTGGCCTCCAGCCATCAAGAGCACGCCGACCTGGCCGCGAGCGATGGCATCGAGGCCGACGGTACGGAAGTGCTCGACCTTGGCGGGCTCAGCCTCGCCGTGGATTGTGTTGACGACCGACGATGGCGGTGGGGGCTGCACATCGTGCGACTTGCCGGCGCGGGCCTCCTCGTCAGCCTTGATGGCGGTGTGGAAGACCTGGTTCACACGTTCGACGTCGAGCTCATCGAGCTGCTGCGCGAGCTGTGCCTGCTCGTCGGCGTTGAGTTTGTCCCAGAAGGCGAAGAGGTGGGACTGACCCGCCTTCTCGTACCTCTGCTTGAGGGATGAAACGTCTACTGATGGGATCGACATGGTGTCTATGATCCCTCGTGTGTGTGGCCGGAGGACGAACGCAGATGTTGTGGCACGAAAGGAGGGCAAGTGTCAAGGCGGGAGGTTTGGTTGGCGACGCCAGATCGACGCCAGCAGTCCGACAGGTGAAGTTGACACCGGGAGGCACTCCAAACGCTTTGGCTGCTGCAAGTTGGGCTAGCGCATGTGCCTCTCGTCGGAAGAATGTGACGAGCGGCGGCACACACACACACACACACAC